AATCTAGTATGTCTTTCTTATAGGCATCCAATGCTTTAGTCTTTGCATGTCCCATTGACGTAGACGCATTTTGACATACTCTTTAACTCTTATCGATAATCTTTGGACTTGTTCCAAGACCATAAAAGAGTTTACCAATCTTATTATCAATATTTAGAGCTTGAAACCCTCGAGTTGCTCTGTATCTAATTTTCCCAATGAAGGAAACATCCTTTGATCTTGATCTCAACACGAGAGAATACATATCAAGTAATCTAAACAAATTCATTGTTCATTTACTTTGATTCCTTATGTGACATTAACTTATTTTTAAGTATGATTCTCAAACATAAAATCGACACTCTTTATGGTTTCTCCATAAAGATCCATCACAAGAACTAATACGTTCGTAAATCATTCCCAACAAATGGGATTCAAATCATTCATAAATGATTTTCATTTGGTTCCTAGCCACATCTTGGTTCTTCAACGTGAACCATTTCCTTTCCAAAAGAATTACATATTTTTTCCATCACACTATAGTGTTCTTTCGTAATTTTGACAAGTTCAAAATATATACAAAGAACCCTTACATGATACCGTCATGTACTCATGGCCTATAAAGATTTTATCCACCAATTAGGATTCATCTTTATTTCCTTTAATGCAAGTATCTCCACCAGATACTTTGACACTCGCAAGTGTTTGATTGCATTACTCATATAAGACCCCCACACTCGCAAGTGTCTATAGGGTGACCACAATTTCTTTCATGATACCTTAATGATGTAATCATTTGACAAGAAACTCTCCCTCACATTCGGGTGATACTGAATTGAAAAATATTATTTTTACAATTTTCCTTCGAAAAGGTTTCTACGTTCAGATTTCTATTGGAAGGAAGTAACTGTGATAGACACTTCATAGATAATTCTATGTTTTGTACAGAAGTCATATATTGGTGTCTCACTCACCATTTGTGCCATTTCTCTAATATCTATAATTTTTAATGAGTTTATTCTTAACCTTAGTCTCGTAGAGAACAAATTCTCTTTATATACTAGATTTTTATTGAGAAAAAATCTCTAAGTTCGTATCTAAAAGATAGAACTTATTGGGAAACATCATATTCATCCCTTTCCAAGCATGGAATATAAGTTCTCCCATTTCCCAAAAGTGAGTTGGAGCGGAAAACAACTTTTCCCCAAATCAACATTTCTCCATTCAAATAAGAATCGTAAATGCTTTCATAATAAAGAATTTCCATGTTTTCCAAAATCTATCTCTCCTTTGAGATTAATGCACCAACCATTGTTTTCTTACTATTTACACAAACTTTTAACAGTAAATTTCAATAATTTTCTAAAGTATCATAATCATGCATTTATTTGACATTTATATTCAATGCATGATTTCAACACAAGTGTTTTGACAATATATATAATCAAAATATATATTACAATCCTCACAAAACACTATGCAATCAATAATGAATCAGATCACCATTATATGAATAAATTTCAATCAACAATTTATCATCATAACTAACTAAATACTTTTAGTTTGACCAATAAGTAGTCTAGAGAAAACATTTCAAAAGTCATTGCACTGCATTTAGTGCCTCACTAATTGCTAGTTATGACAAAAATTTTTTTGTAACTCTTAACCTTATTATTAGAATTTAATATTCGACAATGCACTCATTTAGTGCTCATTATTTCACGCACTCATTGTGCTCAAGGGTCCAATTCTCAAAACAAAATATTCTAAATTTATCTCAATATCCAGATATTGTATATATGCAAAACCACGTGAAATATCTAGTTGATGTATAGCAATGATTTATTATTGTATTTCCATCAACTAGCAAATAGTAACAAAGTCATACAAATAACTGAGTTAATTCCCCAATATTTCTCATTTTCCAGTTTGCATGGAGACATTAATATTCTCCAACATAGAATAACATTCATAATGTATGATAATGTCATTTTAAAAAATGGAAAAGAAATAAAATTTTGAGGCATGCATCCGGCTTAGTAATAAGTCAAGAAACAATGAACCGTTATGTTCTCTTAGGAAACAGTTTCATAATTTGAATGCTTAGGGATGATCATTTTGGGCAAAGCTAGATATTATTACCTTTAAATTTCAAATCAAAATTAAAAGGTAAACAAACTCATTAACTTTCTCATAATAGGTGATAAAAAATATGCTTCTTGCATTAAAAGCTACCGTTTATATTTCTTTATGGCTAAATATCTCAAAGACTTAAAATATGAAATACTAGTCTAAGCCAACATGACACTTCTGTCATTAATAGAAATCTTTTCATATTTCATGAATATTTTAATGCAAGAAAAGCATTTGGTGACATCAATATTTCTTAAATATTTGTGTCCATGTTGCAAACAAAACACATTTATAACGCCCCACCATGTATATTTTAAATTCGTGATCACATGCAAATACTATAACATATACTAGATGCTTGTCCCGGGCAAATGCCCGGGGGCGTCCCACCTAATAAATCGATATGTAAATAATCAAAACTGATTAGGAATGAATTTAGTTTTTGATGAAGATAATTGATTGACCAGAAATTAATTTTTTTGGAAGTCCTAAATAAATGGAGAAGAAAAATTTCATACACTGTCAAATTCAAAATTTGAATGAACGTGACCATCTGATCTCTTCGTTAATATTGTAAATATATTTTTTATTTTTAAAAGCAGGTGACACGTGGCAGAATGATTAATGCAATATGGTGCATTTGGAGCCAAAACATTTTAATAAGAAAATGCCACATCAGCATCATGTTTTCTGCTTTAATAGGGTAAAAGGGATAGCACCCTACCATTTTCATCCTCCAGTTTTAAATATTGGATACCCAACAAAGTTTCCCAAAGCAATAATAATGCTTAAGAGATCCAATTAATTTCGCATGCGGTTTTATGTATCAATGAAATGAATGAATGCAATGTTTAATGGCCTAATTATTCCAAAACGGCCAGGTATTGACCATTAGAATGTTTCACAAACACTGCAATTTTTCCTTTGCTCATACAAACCAATAACAATGAATACCACAAAATAAATCAGAAGTATATTTCCATAATCATATTCATGCACCAAAAATATCATTGGCATATTTCATAGGCAAATCAAGGTTCCGTTTTCCTTAGACTTATACTGATCAAAGTCAAAGAAATGGGTAGATACCTTCTTTCACCTTTCCCATCGCTTCACTACCTTTCCATGGTGTACTGTAAAACGTATGCACGTCCAATCTTCTTCAATTTTTCCTACATGAAACAGAAAAAATTGTCAAAATTGTCAAATAAAATTTCCTGTCGATTTTCCGTTGATCTTTTCGTCGACACACAAAAGTCGACATTCGTTTATATGCCTTTCTTTCTGGTTTCGTAGATCTATTCGTCGACTGACGATCAAGTCGACTTCTTTCATTTTGTCCTTTGGTATGCCCCGTCGACCAGTCTGCCAACCGACCATGAAGTCAACATGATCCAAATGAAAAGACAAATACACTTATGTTTTAAGATTGTTGGAAAAATTGAATGCGGTATTTTTGATGAATAATAACATCTCCAAAAAATAAAAAGATAAAAAGATCTGAGACTCGTGAAGACACGATTTCCTTAAAACATATTTGTCCCGTCCTAAGGTGCTAGAGGATTGTGGGTAATTGTTTCCCAGGATACAACGGAGAAACGTGAAAACTACTTAGCACTAAGTAACTTCATCGACGAACTGGAACTTAAAAAATATTTGATGAACACCAAGGAAGAGGAAGAAAAAGCTAAGGTAACATTGATGAAGAAATTGAGTTACTTAGAATTAAACAAATGAGCCACTATTTATATCATTAAGAGACCTTTTGAATTCAGCCAAAAAACCAAACGGTTTTCTCATGTTAATTCACTTTAATTGTAGCTAAATAAATTGTGAGTCAAATGTTTAAACATTTGTAACCACTCAACCATTTATTCTACTCATTTAAATGAGATAATCCTACAAATTCAAAACTAAAACGGTCAGTTTTATTGCAGCAAATTAATTCCTGTGCTAAATGAAATATTATATTCATTAACACCCTCATAACCATTGGTAATCAATCCGGTCAAATTCGGATTAAATGAAAACCGTTTGGAATTAATTCTAGCATCAAAAGTCTCTCTATTATTTGACTGAAAAATTAATCTGAGACAGAGCAAACGTGATTGATCAGGTCTACGAGAGTTCGGTCCGATATTTATGTCCATAAGTCGGACACATAAATAAGTTAAGCTAACTCCGTCACCGTAAACTCAACTTTTCCAATCTATGTGAAAGCAATTCTCATTCATATTAATAGCTCATTTCTAACAAAAACTTCTGCAACTTCCAGAATATTCAATTAGAGTAATTCCAAGAGGAAAGCTATCTTACTAGAGACATCGATCATGCTGTACAGAATTTATTTGCATCTTTTATAGATTACAAAGAAACACAAAATAATTAAAGAATAATGATATTCCACTCTACTAATTTAAGTTTTTACTTGTAACTCTACTCACATGGTAATCTAGTTAGCTTATCCACATCACCTATAAAATTTAGCAGGATAAATTTTGTAGCCTCAAATAAATCTTATCAGATTGTTTAATTATTAGTCTGTAAACAAAAAAAAAAAAACAATTCTGTTAAAAAAAAACTTCCAATAGGTTTGTTTAGGTAGAGCCAGGAGCCTGCCCCCTCTCATCAAACTTACAGAATTTGATGCAATATTTTAACTAATAACACACTATGGTATTTTACTATATTTTTTCGAAGAACGCGCTAGTTCTCTTAAAGGTAGAGGAACTTGTCTGATTGAAATTACTGCTATTATTTCTTGGTTTGAGATCTAAAACTTCAAAACATACAATCATATAATCTGTCTCTACCTAAACTGATTGTCATATTTGCATTTCAATTTTTACGAAAATTGTAAAAAAATTAAAAATCAAACAATACAAAATTGAGAGAGTACAGAATTAATATAATTTTTACCACAATAATACATTTGTTTATGCAATGGGGACGATACATGAGTAGCATGTATGACCTCCATTTTATTAAAATAACAAGAAAAAAATAACTCAAAAGAAGGAAACAACCATCTTCACGAGGATCACCAAGTAAAGCTAGATGGTTGTAATTAAGAACCTAAACAGTTTATGTGATACTCATATAACAGAAATATGAGTAAACAGAAGCGGTTCTGCTTTATCAATCCTGAAGTCGTTGGAAGAATTGATGTAAGTGTAAACACCATCATCCATTTCGTAGGTAACGCATTTCCCATCAATAAGCATATCACGCTGAGTGTATGAGAAAGGAACTTCACACGATACCTTAGTTTTCAACATGCTCACTTTAATCTTAGACTTTTCCGGCACTGTAACCGTGCATGTATTCTCCAGTGTTGGGATCGTCACATTATCTTCACCCCACGTGTACATTCCATTAAACTCATCACTTGATATTATAACATCTCCATCCACAATTATAGGAATTCCCGCTTCGAATTTCGCCTTAACTCCTAACTTTAAGGAAACATTGTTCCTCCAAGTGGTGGTGGTGGTTGTAGTCTTGATGACGCTGAATGTCAACACTTGGGTTTTGGGTTCTGAGGAACTATTCTCGACAAACACGGTTTTCATTATGACGGGAGCCTGTTTATAGATCCTTGTGTGCTGAAGATTATACTCAACATTGTAAATTTCCCTCCAAACAATGGCTTCCGACACTTCAAAAATAGTATCGTTTGAAATTGTGGCTGCGACTCCATCCAAACGGTTTTGGGTTCCCTCTACTCGGTTGCAAAACCGATTGGCAGGTATGCTGCGGACAGCTATCTTATTATCTCCAACTTTAATAGGCTTATACAACAAGTCACTGGAAACCTTGGTGTTATCTATGGGAGATGAATGATCAACCTTAAACCCTAAACTTCCATCCACATATAACCAAGCGCCTATTCTCCAGAATTTTTCATTAAGAGAAGACTTGATAATGACGGTGCCATTGTTGGTAGTTAACACCTCATACCTAACACCTGGAGCTCCGGGGTCATTTGATGAGAACTTCTGGTATACATTTCCAGATTCAGTGAATACATCAAGGTATAAACCGTTATCGCCTTTGAAAGTCACATGTTTGGGCAATATCACCAAGTTGTCCCAATCAATGACAATGACCACGTCGCGTAATTCACTGTTAGGATCAGCTAAGCCCATATGTAAGCAGGAAGCATGGGGTTCTTCGGCATGCCATAAGCACACATAGTTCATGCTCTGAACATGGCGAAATCTTACTCCTTCAGTGGGATCTTTTCCATTCACATAAACTGGCTCAAACAATGTGCATGACTGATCGCAACGGTTTTCATTTGGCTCATCACCCGTGGCTGTAATCCACAAAACATTTGGGTTTTCCCTACGCCAGTATTTGTTGTTGTAGACACATTTTATATGGACGAGCGATCCCCTCGTGTTCTTTGCACGCTCCACTTTGTACTTGTTGAATGGTGACACAACTTTTTCACTGGAGAACCACAAGAGTCCTTGAATCTCTTCTTTGTTGTTAGGGATGAAGCTCAGATACTTTGAATTATATTTTGATTGAAATGCAACATGTCTTGGTAATGCTTCCATCTCTAGATAAATATCTTCTTTTTCACTACGAAAAAATAAATAAATTGATTTAGTATGTTATATTAATGCTCTTTTGCTTCTTTTCCATTTGTTTTCCACTTCAATTCAGCTTGCAATTTGTAGGACACGTACATGCAGGACAATGTTCTGATTCATTAGATTTCCACTAAAATCTAATGCCTAGTTGTTACTATTATTTTTTTTAGTGACACATACATGCAGGTAAAATTTGCGAGAGAAATTTACAGGTAATGATGTGATCAAATATTAACTTTCTCCTAACCCTTAAATGAATAATCCCTTAAAAGAAAGGTATAAGTATGGACAGTTATGATTCATTCTATATCAAAATCCCTCTAAAATTTTGTTACACAAATCCTTTATATGTATGTATACATATTTGGTCTTCGCTTGGTTGGATTTATAATTTAGCTGTTTTTCAAAAAGATTCATGTATTTGTTTGTTTCGGATAGGCTGCGACCAAATGATAATGAAAATGCACCTTTGTTTTGTTTTGGTCAAATGTTTGGTAGGATTCATCTAATTAAGTCATCTTTCAAAGTTTTGTTATTGTAAGGAGATTATTCCACAAGGGGATGAAGAATGGATGATGAGAGAAGATTGGGGGAGAAAAACCTATGTAAGAAGAAGAGTTGTGATACGTACAGGGAAAAAATAACAAGGAAAATTTATAAGGAATGATGTGTCAAACATCTAAACTAAACCCTAACCTTAAATGCTTAAATCTCGTATGCAAAGTTTTTAAAATGGATGGATGAGATCATCCTTGTCATTTTTCTTTGTAATTTTTCCTTGTACCAATCATTATCCTAAGAAGAATTACTTAATAAAACACTAGATGTAGCCCTGAGCATTACTTGGTTTAATATTAAATTATCATAATTAATCCCTTTGTACTAAGACAAATAGTCAAAAAATTAAAAGGCGTGTTAAAAACACATACAATGTAAGAACAACAGTTGATGATCATCTAAATCTAACTATATTGATTCTCTATTTTTTATAAAGAAAAATAACTTTTTTTTGAGGGATTTTTGGAGGAATCCTTAAGTGCAATACGGCTATTAAATGTACTTCTTTTGTCCCAAAATTATTTTTCAGTTTAGATTTTCAATTTCAGAACAAATTAAATTAAAAATAAAAATTCAAACTTGAATTTTTATTTTTTTTTACGGAAGGAGTATGTACTTTAATTGATTTTTAAATTTTATAGGTAAAAATAAACATTTTAAAAATTATTTTAAATTACACTTACGGTGCAATTTCAAACAATTTCATTATGTTTTTACTTTTTTACAAAAGAAAAATTAATAAAATAAATTTAGATATTCCTACAAAACTATTAGCTAAGCATGTTTCAGCGGGTCAAACATCAAACTTTGAGCAGTGGACACAAGTGCCACGAGAAATACGTGGAATTTTGATTCTTGAACAAAGGCAAATTGCATATATTTGTACTAAATAGGACTCGTTAATTTAGACAGAGCTGTCAGTGGTTTTTCTAAAAAGACCTTTGTAATGCAGGTTCTTAGGAATTTAGTAAGTAATTGATGGAGTTGTCACGAGATTCTAGGATGATTTGTGTACGACAGTCTCTTTGATAGCATTTTAAATTTGAAGAACTGTCATGAAATTCTTAGACAATCCATGCAAGACAATCTCTTAGCTAGTTGTTTTCTCAAGTCATAAATATCATGAGATTTTGGGAAATCTTTATATGACAGAATCTTTTTTCGGGTAAGTCTTAAACACTGTTTTTGTAAATATTTTTGTAATTAATAAAATTGATGGTATGCCCGCCAGGTACCGTCCTAAATCTACTTAAAAAAACTTTTTTTAATCAAGTAATAACATGATATGTACTCGTATTTTTTTAATGAAAAATGAAATTAAAATGAATTTATAATTATTAAAGTTTTAATTTTATGAATAGTTTCTTTTTGGGCAGGTATAGTACTTTTTTTATTTATGTGGAAATAAAGAAAAGGAAAGTGGCAGTGCGTAGGATTCACCACCTTTTACAATACATCAAATAAATGTTCAAAAAAACTAATAGAAATACTTTAAGGGATTATGATAAAAAAAATTTTGTTTTTTTTTGAGCGACGTACTTTCGGATTTGCATTGGCACTACGCTTCTTCCTTTGTTTACGAACAGAATAGTTGTATTAAATTTCATTATCAGAATTTGTATTTTTTTCATTGTGTGAATATTTGCCTTAATTAATATCAACATTATTATTTTTTTTTCTTTTTGAAATGACCAACATTAATATATGATTGATGGAATATAGTAAATAATTTTGAAATCAGATTATGGTTACAAATTTAATTTAACCTAGTTACACATTTTTTCTTTTACACTTTAATAAAAAACGAATAAAGTGATAACATGTAGCAAATAACCCTAAAAACTTTTTAAACGACAAGTAGGAATTGAAAAACTCTATTTTAATACATACATATATATATATACATATATATATATCCATTTTAAGAGCCATATGCTTTTATATTTCTTCGAGTTTCTGAATTTACGTATTATTGTATTTAATGTTGCTTAGGTTTTTAATTTAGCTTTGTTCTCCTGAAGTACTATTCTTTCTAAGATGTGTAAAGATGATGGACACCCAAAAACAATAGATACGAAGAACCAAGACGATGGATATACATTACAAAAAAGATGGATGAGTATTGTGTATCAAAAGTTTTAATAATATTATAACTAAATGCACCTTTTGAAATTGATATTTAATTCATTTACGTGAAAACCATGTTTAAAAATAAAAGACATGGATCTTTTGATAAACAAAATTTTCACAATTAGTTGGGAAACTTGTACACTTGATAACCAAGTACTGTACAATTAATTAAAAGATTAAATGCTTGGGAAAAAAACATTGCACATTAGATATATTATATAATTAAGTATTGCACATTTAGTTAATTAGTAGTGCACAATTGACCAAAAAGAGTCTTGCACACATGAAAACTAAGTGTTGCACAGTTGGAAACTAAATATTGCACCTACAATTAAAAAGAATTTCACATTTTGATACTAGAAGCATTACACCAATAACGTGACTATCACATCAAAATACATGATGAGACCGTAACTTTACCCTAAAGTTAATAAAATTTTAGTTAACTCGTAATCTATTTTTATTAAAAACGATAAATTAGTAATTTATTTTTTGAGTAGTGATACATATCGAGAAAATTTACAAGATATATTAACAGAAAATTATGTGGCTGAATCTTAATTACCTTCTAATGCATAAACCCGTAAAGATAAGTTTTAATTATGGACGGTTATGATCTATTCTACGTATATTTTTCTTATTACAAATTTTCTCTGTAACAATCATGACTCTTTTTTTTTTTTATGGAGATGATAGGGGATTCACAAATTAAATCGGTGGATCCCCAATTTTAGGATGTTGTAATTTAATGCACTAATTAAAGGGTTTGCATGCACTGATCAATAAGCATGTTAATGCGCCCAAGAAATAATAAGATCTTAATTGGTGAAGACGGTTCCACTCACTATAAACTTCGGCCATTCTTGTATTTAAGTTTTCATTGAACACTTTAAACAAATTTATGTCCAACCCACAGCAAATTTGATTTGGACTCAACAAAACCACTCTCACTTTTTCATATATTGTCCGGAATATTGTGAATTTTATTTTATTTTATTTCTTAAAAACAAGTGATAGAGAGGATATATTTAGATGGCGAATACAAAATTAGATAGTGTAGGAATATTATATATCTCTAGTTTCTAATATATAATTCCTATCACAAATGTAAAAAATTTAAAATATTTCAAAGATATTCAAGAAAGTAAATCAATATAGGTTGAAGTAGTAAGTACCTGGTTAAAGCAGATCTGCGCTTCCCCAAAAAATTTAAAGCATTTTCAGCTGACAAACCTTTGTTTCTTTCCAACTTTGTTTTTTTTTTTTTTTTGGCGGTTTCTCTTTTTTGGTAGTTTATTTGGGTGCTTGTTTCTCTTTTATTTTTTATTTTTTTGGGCGGCAAAAGAAGAAAAAAAGAAAAGAAGAAGAAACAATGTGTTTACCGATGAAGTTGAAAAATGCAGACCTACTGAAGAAAGGAGATGGAGGAGGATCCGAAAAAAAAACGCTTCAATGGAAGTTTTTGCAAAGCCATATTTATCATCAATAATATATATTGGCGTAAAGTGGGTTTAAACTTTAAAGTAAGTTCAATAACATAATGAGCTTTCTTGAGTAGAGTTCACACTCCAGAATATATTCCCTCTGCTTTTTGTTGTCGGGTAAGATTTTTACATGCAGGCAAATTTTACTTGACTTGAATTAAATTCGAAAATGATCAATTAGTTTAAAGTTTACTCCTCCTTTTCAAAAACAAAGTAAAATAAAGATGCGGTAAGATAAAACTAATAACTACAAACATGTTATCAATTTGCGTTTCTATGAGATATTTTATAGCGATTTTATAACTTTGAAAAATAATTTTTATATCCGCTGTTAAACTGATATTAAATTTTGGTGAGAATTGAATAACAGTCTAGTGGTTAGAATGTCGTATTTTTTAAATGTAGATCCGGGTTTGATTCTCACCAAATAGTTTGTAAGGAGATTTTATGTATATCTAAGTAGGGTTTCACGGGTGAATTTTTCTTATATATATACTTGGTTCCAAAAGCTCAAAATAAAAACTAGACCCAATTGAGAATTGTCCTCAAATAAAGTGAAGCATGATAGTGTCAATATGATAATTATCACATGTGATAATTATTTAGAGTTAGTGATGTTGTGTAGTTAATTATCTAGAGTTGTGGTTAGTTTATCTTAGATTTGATGTTATCCCATGTGATATTATTTTAGTAGGTTTCCCTATATAAACATATGTAATAGTCATAGATCAATTGCTTAATACAAGTCATTCTATTCTCTAAGTTGGTAAACTCATCCTATCACTTGTGAGATATACACATTAGTCGTTTGTGATTTATGCAAGTAGGTCCTTTGGTTCCTGCATTTGTCAATTGAGTCTTTTTCTTTTGCTAGTCCTTAATAAAATACAAAATCACAACACAATCACCGGCCACAACAAAGAAACATCATCGTCTCTCCTCCTACAACTCATCATCCGGGTCGAGCTGCATTCTTGCGCCCCCATCACTCATCTTTCGGCCAGTGCTGCATTCTTGTGTGGCCGTCAACCTCCCTCTGGTCGTGCCGCTTCTTTTTCTAGCACCGCCGTCAGTCTCCTTCTTATGCTACTGTTACTGCTCATGCTCGCTTGTTGCTTTTTGCTTGTTGCTACTGCATCGTGGTCCACCCGGTTCTTGGGCAAACTGAGACTCCTACCTTCTCCGCCATAAGTTTGAGGGGGCGTGTCAATATGATAATTATCTATACCTTCTCCGTCATAAGTTTGAGGGGGCGTGTCAATATGATAATTATCACATGTGATAATTATCTAGAGTTAGTGATATTGTGTAGTTAATTATCTAGAGTTGTGATTAGTTAATCTTAGACTTGATGTTATCCCTTGTTATCCCATATTATTCTAGTAGATTTCTCTATGTAAACATATGTAACAGTCATAGATCAATTGCTTGATATAAGCTATTCTATTCTCTAAGTGATAGGAGCATATTGCAACATAAAAGAAAAAATGAGCATGAAGATGTTTCAAGACATGGTTTAAATAGGTTCTCAAACTCCTATCCAAATCATTTAAAAAAAAAAAATTGAAATAAAAACAAATATGTTATCCATAGATGTCCATAAATTTTTAATTTCTTATCACCAGTTTTTTTAAAATGGAAAGTCTTGGAAAGGAAATGCTTCAGAAAGGGAAAAAAAAGGTTTAATTACATTGAGTTGGCATCTCATTCTTAATCAATGCTCATGGGCATCACCAAAACTTCACGAAAAGAATGGAAGCATATATATTGAGTGTCAATAAAAGAAAGATTGGAATGGGCATATCTTTTTTCTAACAAATCGAAGAAAGGAATTACAAGAGAAGAATCCTAACTTTAAGAGCAAATTAACAACAACGATTTAACTAGAAAGTTTACCAGAGGTATATAAGGCTTGTTTTAGAAAGATTTAACTAGAAAATGAACAACAACAAAAGTGATCTATATCTTCTCCAAGACACTTAGAATTAACAACAACCCGAAGGGTGGGTTATTTTAGGGAACTTAGATGGCTAGATTCATTAGGTTTTTGGTTGTGCTTTCTCGGCTACAAGGTTTTCTGAACTACACTCCTAATTTGATTGAATATTCGATTTCCACCACAAACGTGAAGAGCAGAGAATTAAAATTATGCTTCCAAAATGGGCTTCTAAATGCTACACGAGCAAAATTCTTATGATCCAAACCATGTTTATACATATTCCCTCTGTTCCCCTCCATTTCAAAAAATTTTCACATTTTTATGTTGTCTTCATAATTTTCTTTCATTTACACATAATAAACTTGTTTAATAATTTTTATATCCCAAATAAATTTTTGTGAGGAAACTTACTTTCATTTCCTTGTAAAAGTTTTGTAAAAAATATTCTTGTGATGCTCATAAGACATCAACAGCTTATTAGTGTAAAAGATTCAAATTAAATCCCGCATCTCATAATTGATTTGAATGAAAATTATTATTGCAAGTCAAAATTTATAAGGGCGACTTCAGAATCTCAAGATATCGCAAATCGAGATATATAAAATTTAGAGCGATTTCAGAACATTGTGAATCTGGGATATGGCGAAACTGCGAAAGTAAGAATAGAAGAAAAGTTATTTTTCTTTGTTCCGACATAATAACCATTTTTAATTTCATTTTTAGTTAGTTCCAGTGAAAATCCGCACAGTTTAATCATTTGGAGACAGTGAATGAGAGATTAATTAATAAAAATAAGTGCATATTTGTACTCGCATACTCCAGCATTTGGCATTTGAGCTGACATACACCTGCATCATGCGGTTAGATTCCCAGGGGTGGAGATTTGGAGAATTTACCCACAATAGTGGGGTTTACAGGATTATTTTTTAAAAAAAAACACATGTAGTAGATTAGATTAGAAAGAAATTTCTAAATTATTACAATGCATTGGTGCATTTCATGATATGCTAGACTATGTAATTCCTTTACGTTTGACATGTTTATGGTAATCAGTTGATAAGATTCAAACAGCTCAATTATATCTAGGCCTAGCAAATCTGACCCGCGATCCGTGGGTCGACCCAACTCGCATAGTGTTTTGACCCGTACAGGTTGGGTCAAATGGACTGCGGGTCAAAACTGGTCGCGGGTGAGGATGAGTACGTGATAGACGCGTTGGGTTGGTTTGGGTTGGAACGACCCGCGGGTCAAGACAGGTTAAAGGAAAAAAACGAATCATTCAAGTCCAACTAATTTCCATCGACCCAAAAGCCAAAAGAAGAACAGAACAAAACTCTCTCCTTGTTCCGGTCTCTCTTGACACCACGGCAGTGCCGCCATTCTCCCCTCCGCCACCGGCCTTATCAACGGAGGCCATCGGAAGCCTGATCGCCAAGGTCTGTCCCTCACCCCTTTTCTTCCTTTCTCTATATCTTTCAGATTGGATGCTTCCTCTTCTGGGTTGTGTCGAAGGCTTTTTTTTGTTCAATAGATCCGGTTTTTTTGAATTCCAATCTTGGTGCTTTGTTCTTTCGATTCTTTGCTGAAAAGTGAAGCACAAAATGGGTCTCTATTACGTATTCTTTCTTGTTATTTGTATATTGGCCCAACTCCTACATATCTGGATATCAAATTATCACAGAATCCCATGTTTCTACATTCTTGAATCTTGCCTTACTTCTTAGAAAACGCCAGGTTCTCAGTTCTCTATTTTTTGAAGTTTTCTTCTTCATTAATTCTAAGTTTATAATTATAAAAATCCCATCTTGCAGTTAGTTAATTAAATAAATTGTTGTTAATCACTTTAGGTTCCGTGTGGTCACTCTCATATTTTTTTACTCCCAATTTTCACGCCATGCATTGTACAAAGTCAAGGTTTTTTTTACGCTTCTGCTTTGCAGTTTGTTCTGCTTCTGTGTACAATTAGCTACCCGTTCCTTCTCATTTTCTAAGCTTTCTTGAGTTTCTTGAATTTTGAGTGTTTGAAGTTGGAATGTGGCTTTCTGGGATTTTCTAGTTGGTTGAATTGTTGCTCGCAAAAGGGAGTTCTGTTTGATTCTATTGAATTCAATGTAATTTCCTGGGATTTGTTCTCTTGGGCTTGTATCTGTGGTTTTGTGACTTTCCCTTTCTTTGGGTGTAATTGGGAATTAAGGCTTTGCTTGTTCATTTGCCTTGAAAGTTCTGAGCTCTTTGGAGTGAAATCAAAGTTCTACTTTTTGATTCTTTGCTGAAAAGTGAAGCACGAAGTGACGCCTTTTCGATTCTTGGTGCTTTGTTATTTGTATTCTTTCTTGTTTTCCTGCATTCTCTTGCTCAGTTCATATCTCAATATTTTGAGTAGACAGAATGACGAAACTTTAGTGCAAACTGTCTAAGATGTATAAGAGGTGACCTCTTCATATAATTTAATGATATCCCTCTCAATTTGTGAACCGGACAAAAATTTGTAAATAGAATTGATACGATTTCTGACTTCAAGGAGTTCCGGCCATTATTTGTTAATTTCGTGTAGTTTATTCGTTTTTAACATTCTAGGCTTTCTTAAAGTGTTAGGATTTTTTTGTTTGATTAATTTTCGTAGAGATTGCTTGTGGAATTTCTTTGAAAATTTGATGAATTCCATGCACTTGAATTTTTGTTGAAGTTGTTGGTTATTGAATTCTCTGGATGACTTTTCTTGTTGTGAATAAAATGACTCATTTTGATTAATTTCCATGTGGAATATGCACGAATGAAAGACGAAAATGGGCTTCCGTCTTTGATCATTTGAATTGAGTTTGTCAGTTTTGAGTCCTCCAGAATGAATGAATGATTGCCTTGCTATTTTGGAAAAAGTTTGCTTGGGCCATTGTGTGTTTTGTTTTGTGATATTTAAGAAATGATTAAGGTGACTGAGTTTTCTTTCATTTTTCTGTTTGGTCAGTGGGTATAATTATGCTATGATATTATGAATTTGTGGGAAACGCCCCTTGGAACATGCATAGTTTTTGTTTGGAACATGCTATGATGTTGTATTTTCAGT